GGGAGCTGGATGGAAAGCGGGGTTGCTGGGATTAGAACCGGTGTCCATATGGAATCCCAGTGCATGCAAGGCGAGGACTTTAGCCACTAGGCTATTACGCCGGGCCCTATTTATTTATTTTAAAAGATTTATTGATTTATTTTATTGGAAAGGCAGATTTACAGAAAGGAGAGACAGAAAGAGCTTCCATCTGTTGGTTCACTCCTCAAATGGCTGTTATGAGTGGAGCTGAGCCAATCTAAAGCCAGAAGACAGAAGCTTCTTCTGGAAGACCAAGCTTCTTCTTGGGTGCAGAGTCCCAAGGTTTTGGGCCATCTTGGACTGCTTTCCCAGGCCACACGCAGGGAGCTGGATAAGAAGTGGAACCGCTGGGACACACAAACTTGCATCCATATAGAGTCTTGGCAAATGCAAGGTAAGGATTTAGCCACTAAGCTATCAAGCCTGGCCCAACATTTATTGTTTTTATTGATAAGGAAGATTTACAGAGGGGAGAGACAGAAAGGTCTCCCATCTGATGGTTCCCTCCCCAAATGGTCATGATGGCCAGAGCTGAGGCAGTCTGAAGCCAGGAGCCTCATCCAGGTCTCCCATGTGGGTACAGGGTCCTAAGGCTTTGAGCCATCTTCCACCTCTATCCCAGGCCATAAGTAGGGGAATGGATCAGAAATGGAGTAAACAGGACAATACTGGAGCCCATACGGAATGCTGATGCCGGAGCTAGAGCATTAAGCAATTAAGCCACAGCATCTTCCCTCTCCCCAATGCAGCATGTTAACCAGCTGTGCCTTGATACCACTCCTACATTACTACTGTTTCTAGTAATAATTGTACAATTACATACATGGTGAGGTAAGACTTGGAAGAAGTTCCTGACTCCTGCTTCAGACTGGCTCAGCTCTTGCCATTGTGGCATTTGTGGAGTGAACTAGCACATGCAAGATCTTTTTCTGTTTCTCCTTATCTCTCTGTAAATCTGCCTTTCTGATAAAAATAAAGGTTTTTTTAAAGATTTATTTATTTTTATTGCAAAGTCAGATATAAGAGAGGAGAGACAGAGAGGAAGATCTTCTGTCCGGTGATTCACTCCCCAAGTGGCCGCAATGGCTGGAGCTGAGCCAATCCGAAGCCAGGAGCCTGGAGCTTCCTCCAGGTCTCCCATGCAGGTGCAGGGTCCCAAAGCTTTGGGCTGTCTTCGACTGCTTTCCCAGGCCACAAGCAGGGAGCTGGATGGGAAGTGGAGCTGCCGGGATTAGATCCGGCGCCCATATGGGATCCCGGTGCATTCAATGCGAGGACTTTAGCCACTAGGCCACAGGCCAGGCCCATGAACCATGTTTGAAAATACAGTTTGTAACAGATCAGAAATGGCACCATCCCTTTTTATTTTTGTCATGATTTCCAGTTTCCCAGTTATACACATACACTCTTGAAAACCACTTTAGGTATTTTAATCACTTTAATTTTAAATGAAATAAATTTTTTTAAGATTTATTTTTTTGGGCCCAGCACGGTAGCCTAGCAGCTAAAGTCCTTGCCTTCAATGTGCTGGAATCCCATAGGGGCACTGGTTCTAATCCCGGCAGCCCTGCTTCCCATCCAGCTCCCTGCTTTTGGCCTGGGAAAGCAGTCAAGGACAGCCCAAGGCTTTGGGATCCTGAACCCATGTGGGGGACGCGGAAGAGTCTCTGGGCTTCTGGCTTCCAATCGGCACAGCACCAGCTATTGTGGTCACTTGGGGAGTGAATCATCGGACGGAAGATATTTCTCTCTCTCCCTCCTCCTCTCTGTACATATCTGACTTTGCAAAATATATATATATATAATATATTAATTAAATGTATATTAAAAAATAAAAACAAACATGATTCATATATATATACTTTGTAATCCAAATAAAGATAACCCTTACTCCATAAAAAAAAAAGGCGGGGAGGGAACCTAAGCCTCTCTATGACTTAAAGTTCTTACATTTATTTCCTGGAGATCTGAAGCAGTTCTAATTTTCACCTATTGGAATTTGACTTTTTTCATCTTCATTCAGCATTTTGTTCTCTCATCTACTCTTTAGTTTTTTGCTTCTTTCAATTTCTTGGCCATACCTAACTATCCATATTGGACGATCTTTCTAAATTTATTTGTGACATAAAAACGTTAGATCATTCACTGGTAGCCACCTATCATCCTGAATAGGAAAAGTTTAATTCATTTAACAATCAACTGACAAAAAAATATTTAACTAGCCTCCCTGTCTCTTCTTTGTGTATATATCTGCTTGGGTCTAGACCACCCAGTAATCTGCTATATACTACTTGAGAGCCCTTCAAAAATTTCTGTATCTTAGTAGCTGCACAAATTCTATGCCAAAGGGCAGAGTTTAAATGGCACATCACAATTCGAATCATATTTAACACGTAACTGTTTAGAGCAATATAATTCATAGGGGCTGGCATTGTAGCATAGCTGATTAGGCCAGCGCCTACGATGCTGGCATCCCAAGTAGATGCCAATTCCAGCCCCAGCTATTCCACTCCCCATCTAGCTCCTGCTAATGCACCTGGGAAGGCAGTGGAGAAGGGCCCCAGTCCCTAACTTAGCTCCTGGCTTCGGCCTAGCCTAGTCACTGGGGTCACAGCCCTTTGGGAAGTGAGTCAGCAAATGGAAGATCTCCAAGAAAATCAGCTTTTTTTTTTCTTTGGTTCTTCTACACAGATGCAGGGGCCCAAGCATTTTGGCTGTCTTCCACTGCTGTCTCCCGAAATTGCCACAATGATCAGAGCTGGCTGATCTAAAGCTGGGAGCTTTTTCCTGAGTGTCCCATGTGGGTACATACAAGGACTCAAGCACTTGGGCCACCCTCTGTTGCTTTGCCAGGCTGTCAGCAGGGAGCTGGATAAGAAGTAGAGCAGCTGGGACTCAAATCAGTGATTCTACCAGCTAAGCCAGGGCACCAGCCCCCAGGAAATCTTAAAAATGAAACAAGAAAAAGACTCCTACCCACTTTGTTTCGTCATCCAACATCAGTTCTCACCTATTTCAACCATCAGCACTATTGTATTCAGAAAGATGAGGAAGATGATGAAGTTCTTGAAGAGAGCACCTGTTTCTTATTAAGGACGCAATACAGAGTGGAACACTTTTTGATGTACATCGTTGAAATCATAAAGGTACGAATATTCATGGTCCGGAGAAGAACATTATATTGGAGGAGGAAACAGGAAGTCAGCAGACAAAGAACAGCCATAGATAGGAGTGACAGCAAAGGATACTGTCAAGCACCCATCCGGCCCACAGGGAGAGGGGCGGCCTCGGACTGCAGCGCACGTGAAGTCTGCTCAGCAGTCTCTGGGCGTGCGAAATCCGGCCCTCGTGCTGCGGCTTTATGGAGAAGCGCACCAGTTGTTGTTGATCCCTCAACATTAGTTTCTTCTGTCGGGAAGGATCTGTGTGATAAAATGTTGTAAGCATTGTGGACAAAGAAGGCAGCCAACTCTTGCGGGGGTGGTTGCGGCTATGGGGTAAGGACCCTCAATATAACTAAGAATCCTGTTCTCTTGGGGTGAGAGCTAACTAGTGTGTTACTTAGGATCATCAGCATCCACACCCACAAATAAAAGCAGCAGCTTCAATTCCCAGTGGGAGTGTCTTTGACAGAAACTTTCCCCAAGTCAGCCACGTCTGGCAGCTACCCTAAGCCTCGCAGGAACAGTGCAGGTAATAACTCCAAGGTTGAAAGTTTTATTTACACAAAGTTCTTATTTGATCAGGTTTGGTGGAAGCTCCTAATCAACGAACAAAGCAACTAAACCAACCTTCCCTGAATTTCCCACGCTTAAATTTGGTCTCCCTGCTTCCTCATCTTTGTCAGAGGTGGTGAGGAATCTAAATGTGATGCGGAGAATAAACAGGCTGCTGACCAAGTAACTCCTGGATTGTGTGCCGTGGCACGGCTTGGGTCAAGCCTTGCAAATGCTCAATGAGAGAGAACGTGTCAATGAGACGTGACCAAATGGCATCCGCTCGGGGCAGCTGCACGTGCCCTGTTTTGCGACTTACAGCCATATCTGTTAACAAAAAAAAAAAAAAAAGAAAAAAATTGCCAGCATCAGATGACATTTCATTGGTAAAGACATACACCAGGATACAAACTATCTTGCCCCCCTCCCGCCCCCCACCTTCTGCAGGTTCAGAGACCCCTGAAGAGTTCCCAGCTGGGAATGCCTGGCAGCTGGTTAGAACACAATGTAACATGAGTCAAGGCCATTTGAAAGAAAATGAGAGTCCCAGTGGCCAGGAAGCTTCATTTTGTGGCAACAACTGTAACTTTAAAACATTATTTAAAAAAAAAAAACTCAAAATAGAAGCAGAAGCTTTGGGGGTGAACAAAGCACACCTCCCCCGCCCCCCACCCCGCTGCAAACTGAGATGGGGAATGAGCCTAGGCTGGCTGCCTCTCCAAGGAAAAACCAATGAAGAGGACGTGGACAAAATTCAACAGCCTCACATTCGGGAAATGTGCCCCGCCACCAACTGTGCGCACCCTCAGAGGCAGCGCCCGCCCCGCCACCCCCTCCTCAGCCCTCCCTTCTGGACCCTCACCTCAGCCTAGGCACTCTTCGCCCACTCAGCCCTGCCTCCACGCCTCCCCCTCGGGCGCTCCTGCGCGCAAGGATGTGCTCACGCACGGCCCTCCCGCCAAGCCCCGCTGCACCCCATCTCCAGACCCTGCCCGCCCCGACTCGCACGTTAACCTGTGTCCCGGGAAAGGGGGTCCTGCCCACCCCCGGCTCCCGCCCCCAGGTCCCGACCCCGGCAGCGCTCTCCGACTCGGCCCCGCCCCACGCCGCTCTCGGGCCACTCGGCGGTTACCAGCTGGACCCGCCCGCACGCCCGACGCAGGCGCCGCGCAGCCAATCGGCGGCTGCCACACTGCGGCCCGAGCCGGGCTAGGGGGTTGGGACCTCCGGCTGCAGGTCCGCCTGGGCCAGACGCGCGAGCGCAGGGAGCGGGTCCGCGGTCGCCGGCCGGGTCTTTCGCAGCCTTTTCCCCCCTTCCACTCCCGTCCCCTGGCTGAGCCTCGACCCTCCCGGCCGTTTCCCCACCCGAAAGCAAGCTCGCCTCGCCGCCATGCGTCTCCGCCGCCTAGCGCTGTTACCCGGCGTGGCGCTGCTGCTCGCCACAGCCCGCCTGGCCGCCGCCTCCGACGTCCTGGAACTCACGGACGACAACTTCGAGAGTCGAGTCTCCGACACGGGGTCTGCCGGCCTCATGCTCGTCGAGTTCTTCGCCCCTTGGTGAGGCCCCCTGGGCCCGGGGCTGGGCCCGGAGTGGTGGTGGGCGAGGGAGGGCGGGAACGGTTGGGCCTACGCAGCACTGGCGGCCTCCACCGTTCCTGCGGGCCCGGGCTGCGGCCGGCCCAGCTCGTGTTCCTGAGGAGCCGAGGAGTCGGTGCTGCTCGCCCGGTTGCGAAAACCCCAAGGTTCGGTTCCCGCAGGGCCACATCCTTTTCCCCAAATGCTCTTGCGGCACTTCCTATTTGCAGAGGCTTGGCCACCCCCTCCCCCCTGGGATGTGGATCGCGACAGTTCCTGGGTGAGTCAGTGTGCACCGGTCTGCAGTCCGGCCATGAGGCATCCATCCCACAGCCCGTGGAGTGGAGAGCGATCCTTTCGCCCGGCACCGAGGCCCCGGGGTCTCCCGAAGCATTTCCTCTCTTTGCCCCCGACTCCAGCAGCCATTGGTTCCCAGCCAAGGTCACTCCGTGGCAGCGGAATGCTCGCTCCAATTGCTTTTCTGTAGGAAGGCAGTTATTTTTTTTCCCATCGTATGGCTTTTCAGTTTTCTACATGTATCACCTTATTTTTTCAGCACTGGTAGAGACCCTTGGTAAAATAGAGAACACACGAACAAGAAAGAAAACATCAGAATCCGTTTAAATTGTCAGATTTCGTGAGGATTTATGAGGAGTGACCAAAACACTCCAATGAGAAAGTAACCGGTGTTGGAGAATTAGGAGCTGGGGGTGACTTCACCGAACAAGGCTGTATTTCCTTAGGGGAGAACAAACTTAGTGTTAGGACCTGTCTTGGGGAAAGGAAGGGCCAGTAGGGTTTCTTGTCTAGCTAACTTGAGTGATATATATATTTTTAATCAAATCATTACAGAGAACGCAGTGATTATCTTCATTCTTTGGGGTGGCGCAGTATATCCGTGCTAATTATGGCGCCTAATTTTTCCCCTCCAGGCTCAGTGATCCTTCATTAAAACTAGTTTCAGGAGTAAAACTAGTTCCTGTAGAAAATGGTTGGTTGTCACTCGTCTCTTTACTCCTGAGACTGCTGCTAAAAGTCCTGAGGACCACCTGGATCAGAAGCATGTGCTAAGAGGCAGCAAGTGTTTTTTTTGTTTGTTCTGGGCTTGTGGTTGGGTTTTGTCCAGGGCCTTCTTTGACCCACTGTACCAATTACCTTTTCCTGGTGGTCTGCGGACACGTTTCTAGAACTCATGTGCTCTCTCGGTTACATAATCATGCAGCTCTCTGTGAGAGGTCCTGTTGGGCTTGTCAAAACCCAGTGGTGCTTTGTCACCAGGAGCCGCCAGAGAACTGGGGGTCTTTGGACTATGCAGAGCTTAAGTTAAATGCCTGCTCTCCAACTAACTTGGTATACCTGCCTCCCTTGAAAACTACATATTCCCATCAGGCACCAAAACCATCCCAAGAATTGTATAGATCTGTGTTGTGTCGGCTTTTGATTGGCTTTAGAAAAGATAGGGTCATCCTCCAGAAAGCCTAAGGGAAGATAAGTTTTCTGAATGAGCACTTTGGAATGCAGGAAGTCTTCTGCAGATAGTGTCCTTGTTTCTTCACATTCACCCGTTTTTATTGTCACTGAAGCTAGAAATGTTTTCAGATTGATGGGTTTTTTTAAAAGATTTATTTATTTTTATTGGAAAGGTGAATATACAGAGAGGAGAGACAGAGAGGAAGATGTTCCATCCAATGGTTCACTCCCCAGGTGACCACCACAGCCGGAGCTGCACTGACCTGGAGCCAGAAGCTCTTCCAGGTCTCCCAAGTGAGTGCAGGGTCCCAAGGCTTTGGGCTGTCCACGACTGCTTTCCCAGGCCACAGGCAGGGAGCTGGATGGGAAGAGGGGCTGCTGGGATTATAACCGGCACCCATATGGGATCCTGTTGCATTCAAGGCGAGGACTTTAGCCACTAGGTCACGGCGCTGGGCCCAATGCTGTGTTCTTACTTTGTACCTATCAAGAGTAGTATACCACCTCACAAGTTATAGAGTAGTGAAGAATCCCCGCTGAAAGTAGAGTTGAACTGTTTGAGGCAAGTTCTTGTTCTTACATCATTCGTGCTTTTATTTTACAAGTGAAAGTGAAAGACATTTAAACATTTATCTGCTTCTTTTAAAGAGTTAGAAATGTTATAGCCACTACTTGACTCATCATGTGACCATAGTGGTAGAGTCTGGGCCAGGTCAAAGCCAGAGACTCATTTGTGGCCTCACAGGAGTATCGGGACCAGACACTTGGACCATCTTTTGTTCATTTCCCAGGTCAGTAGCAGGGAACTTGGTTAAAAATAGAGCGTCTTGGGCCCGGCAAGAGCGCATAGTATTTTAGGTCCTTGCCTTGAACGCACTGGGATCCCATATGGTTGCTGGTTCTACTCTTGGTGGCTCCGCTTCCCATCCAGCTCCCTGCTTGTGGCCTGGGAAAGCAGTCAAGAACAGCCCAAAGCCTTGGGACCCTGCATCTGTGTGGGAGACCTGGAAATCAATAAATCTTTAAAGAAAAAAAATAGAGCGTCTGGGACTGGCAGATCGCCTAGTCGCTAAATCCTCGCCTTACATGTACTAGGATCCCATTTAGGCGCCAGTTTGTGTCCCAATTGCCCCATTTCCCATCCAGATCCCTGAGAGTGGCCTTAACCATGGCTCAAAGCGTTAGGACCCCGCACCCATGTGGGAGACCTAGAAGAAGCTCCTGGCACCTGGCTTTGGAATGGCTCAGCTCTGGACATTGCTGCCACTTGGAAAATGGATCAGTGGACAGAAGATCTCCCTCTCTATCTCTCCTCATCTCTATATATCTGACTTTCCAATAAAAATAAATCTTTAAATAGAAAAAATGGAGCATTTGAAGCTCCTATATGACATGCCAGTATCACAGGTGGTGGCTTTATCCTCTATGCCACAGTGCTAGCCTCTGAAAATTTCTTTGCTGTTATCTTTTTATAGACTTTTGTTTCTGAGTTTGAAGATTTATTTATTTTTATTGGAAAGGGAAATTTACAGAGAAAGGAGATGAAAATATTTATCTGCTGATTCACTCAAGTGGGCACAATGGCAAGAGCCAGTTGGAAGCAAGTATCCTCCTCCAGGTCTCCCACGCAGGTGCAGGGTCCCAAGGCTTTGGGTCATCTGACTACTTCCCAGGCCACAATCAGGGAGCTGGATGGAAAATGGGGCCGCTGGGATTAGAACCAGCGCCCATATGGGATCTCTGCACATGTGAGGCAAGGACTTTAGCCACTGGTCCAAAGTACTATGTAATGTTTATGGCAGTTTCTATCCATGTGTTAATCAGTGGTGAATGAGTTAGTTTTACACAAAGTATGTTGTACAAAGTTGGTTCTACACAAAGTGTGTTGTAGGTTTGACTTTTTTTTAATATTTGCGGTTTTTTTTTTTTTTTTCAAAGAATATATAAGAGTAACCAACAGAAGAAAGAGATCTTCCAGCTGCTGATTTGCTCACCAAATGGCCACAATAGCCAGAGCTAGATCAGGCCAAAGGCAAGAGCCAGGAACTCCATTTGGCCCCCCCATGTGGGCAGCAGGAATTCAAATGTTTGGGCCATCATCTGCTGCCTCCCAGGTTGATTATCAGGGAGCTGGATCAGAAGTGTAGGTGGTCTTGTGGCCTAGTGGCTAAAGTCCTGGCCTTGAATGCACTGGGATTCCATATGGGTTCCAGTTCTTTCTTTCTTTTTTTTTTTTTTTCAAGATTTATTTATTTACTTATTTATTTTAAGTCACCTGTTCTTTTTTTTTTTTTTTTAAGATTTTATTTTATTTTTTTTTATTGGAAAGGCGGGTATACAGAGAGGAGAGACAGAGAGGAAGATCTTCCGTCCGATGATTCACTCCCCAAGTGACCAAAATGGCCAATGCCATGCCGGTCCAAAGCCAAGAGCCTCTTCTGGGTCTCCCACACGGGTGCAGGGTCCCAAGGCTTTGGGCCGTCTTCGACTGCTTTCCCGGGCCACAGGCAGGGAGCTGGAAGGGAAGTGGGGCTTCTGGGATTAGAACCGGCACCCATATGGGATCCAGGGCATGCAAGGCGAGGACCTTAACCACTGTGCCATCGTGCCGGGCCCTAAGATTTATTTATTTTTATTGGAAAGGTGGATATACAGAGAGGAGGAGAGACAGTGAGGAAGATCCTCTGTCCAATGATTCACTCCCCAAGTGAGCTCAACAGCTGGTGCCGTGCCGAAGTCAGGAGCCAGGAGCTTCTTTCCAGGTCTCCCATGCGGGTGCAGGGTCCCAAGGCTTTGGGCCATCCTCGACTGCTTTCCCAGGCCACAAGCAGGGAGCTGAATGGGAAGCAGAGCTGCTGGGACCAGAACCGGCGCCCATATGGGATCCCGGTGCGTTCAAGGCGAGGACTTTAGCCACAGGCCGGGCCTGGGTTCCAATTCTAATCCTAGCAGCCCCACTTCCCATCCGGTTCCCTGTATATCATCCTTTCTAATAGAAATTAATAAATCTTAAAAAAAGGTATAGGTGGTCTCAAACCAACATTCTAGAGATGTAACACGAGAGCATGCACACGTAAAGTTTTTTATCCTTTGAAGGGCAGAGAGACAGATATTCCATCTTCTGGTTCACTTGCCCTGATATCTTCCCCCAGGCAGCTAGGCCTGAGCCAAGTGGAAGCCTGGAACCCGGAATTCCATCCGGATTTCTATCCGGGTCTGCCCTGGGGTGGCAGGGATCCAAGTACTTGAACCACCACCTGCTTCTTCCTAGGATATTCAGTAGCAGGAAGTTGAAATCAGAAGTAAATCCTGCAACTCCAGTCCAGGCGCTTTGACATTGGAATATTCTGAGTAGGATTGGGAAACTTCTGCCTGTATGCTGTATCAGGCCTGTGAAATCATGTGATCTGGCCCTAATGTAGAATATTTTTTTTAAAGCACATTTACAGAGAAGGAAATACTGAGACAAAACTCTTGTCTACTGGTTCGCTTCCCAAGTAGCTGCAATGACC